AGCTATTTGACTTCCTTGCATTACCACGCTTCTTTTTGTTCTCGGTCTTCTTGTTCTTAAACCACTGCTGTCGATGTATCTGACTCTTCTGCCGAATAGGCTTATTTCCCTTCTTCTCTTTCTTTTCCCTGCAAATACTGACCAGTAATTGTAAATGAATAAGATTACCCACTTAATGGATACCAGTTTCGCCAGATTCTTATTTCTATTACTATACAGCTGCTACCGCGTTATGAGTGGAGCGCGTAATTCTTCGAATTGGTATCAAAGGATCAGATAGTGTTTTGTTCAGTGCACGTCCTACGTTGGTGAACGTCGATTCGTCCTACGTCCCAGTGGAGGAGTCGTATTTGGTGATAGAAATTTTTTTGATCATTGTTTTTTCTCCTGTTTCAAGGGCGCTATTCATTGTGAGGATCCCAGTGCTGAGGGGGTCGGACTTGCTCGTCGTTGGGAAATGGGAGTCGGTTTGCCCGGGAGAGAAATTGACGGCGTTGCCAGAATTTTTTCTCCGCTTGTCAACTTTGCTTTTTCCGTTTCACTAGCGCTGTACACCCCCCCCCCCACTCGACGGCAAAGTCTTCATGAAAAACTAGGAAACTCTTGGGAAATTCAGGAACAAGCGGTAGGAAACTTCGGAAAGTTGACAAGATGATCGGTAGAATGGAGATTGGGGGGGTCGTATGTTCCGAAAATTCTCCCCAGCGGCAGGGCGTGTCCTATGTGGTACAACCAACCAAGTTTGTGTGGTGAGAGAGGGAATTCCTTATACTTGTTGGGGCCCTCCCGCTCTGTCCTAACTGGATGGATTTGATCCCCTCAGACGAAGAAGTGTCCCGCCAACTGTGTCTCCTACTTTTGACTTTTTGCTCGGAAACAAGGCAGCATTAATTATGAAAGTGAAAACTAAGTCTGGACGATCCTGTGAGCTTAGGCGATGTACAACAGCGGCACAGATATTCTTCGCGAGAAGATTTAAAGGACTCGTCGTGCAAAACTAGAATTACTTTAACGAAGGAGTGGCATTGATTGAGCCTAAAAGTAGAAGGAGCTTCAGGGTTTGTCATTTAAACATGGTAATCCTGTACTACTTGCACCAGTACCAGTTCTGCACAATGATACCTTTGAATGCCCTCTCAGCTTGATTATGCCAATGCTCAGTGAGCAGCTCTTTTCACACTTCACGAAGCAAGAAAGCCGACGGAAATACAAAATGTAATGAATTAGCCTCTGAGTTGAACATTTCAATGTTCCCAAAGATCTGAATTCAGCTAAAGGTCAAACGACAAACTCACTGTTTCGATGGTCCAGCAACGGCAGCTGCCTTCTCCTCAACAATTTTTGCCTTTTTATTCTTGAGTTTCTCCCAAATTTCCAGTGCGTGCTGTTTCTCACCACCCGCTTCATTTGGCAGGAACTGAACCGATTCTAGCTTTTGTAGCATAAAGCAGGTACAAGGAGAAAAATCAGAAGAAATCAAATTAATATTAGGAGCTATCTGCCTCGGGACACCAGGCGAATGCATCTGTTGCATTTTGTTGCCCTGCACCGCAAGCATGCAAATATTACGGAAAGAGAGCTCTGGGGTAGATGAAACACTTATTGTCTGCGAAAGGCAGGAGGGTTCGACGTGGGTCATCCACCTCGGAGCTCCCTTCCCCTCCCTCCCTTAAAACTGCACATTATTCTTCGCTGAAAAATTGGGATTGCATGATGGCACCGTCCGAGGCACATAACACCCTGTACTACAATGTATGCTGTTGATGTGATACGGATAAGATTACCTTCCGCTTCTTTCCAGTTTTAACATTCTCCTTCTCTCCTTTAGCAAGACGTTGAAATTTTCCAGCAGATGCAGTAGCTGTCTTAGCGCGATCAACGGCAAAACGAAGCTAAATTTATTTTTTCCTGACTTGTCATCATGAGTATTACAGTCTGCTATAACTCATCCATAGCTTGAGCTTACCTGCTCTTTGGATTTCTCTTCCGGTGCAACACCAATACCTATACTAGCGTCAATCGATGGTCCTTTTCTCATTTTCGAACCCATCTGACGAGCGAGATTTTTCAAACGTTGTGTCTCATTTTTCGCTACTCGCTCCTTCTTCTTCTCAACTCGCTCAGCGAAGTAGTCCTTATTCGGGTCTAAAAGAAGTCAGTGAAGGTAAACATAGCCTAAGACTCAGGACTACACTTAGTAATCATTCCTGAAACAATGCATTCCTTTGTGGGAATTATCGGAGGCTACCAACAAGCCGTGCGGACACAGTTTACGTTACTGCAGACCAATTTCGAAAGACTTCAGGACTTTTGAATGATTAGTTGTAAGATCAGAAAGTACTGAAATGTGTTACAAAGCCCCCAATCATGGCAGGTGGTGTCCGTGAGATATGTGTCGCCAAACCAACTGTGTCCGAAGTCCCGCCTCCGATAAGGACGTTTTCCTCGCTCCCCATCGCTTAAATAATCATCTTCCCTATACCACTTTGCCGAAGTCTGTTTCAGGAATTCTTCTGCTCTTCCTCCAAAAAAACTGCCTTCGAGCAGAGTGTATAGAGACTCGAAGCCGGGAAAAAACCAAAGTCAAGATCAAAAACATTTTTTTTCCAGCGTGAATACGACCCCTTTCCCTCTCCAGCGATCATACTACGCTGGCGAAGACGTACTAACAATGTCCAAGCTCCACTGATCACCACAAGCAATGAACATGAAGATCAGCAGGCTGAGACTTGATTCACCACTCAACTCCACTGTGAGCACCACACCAAAACAAACACTCACCAGCGTTGTCAGGAATTTCTATCAGCCAATCCTTGGTATTATCATTTCCTCTTCTGTAGCCATATGTTGGCTTCCATTCTTTCGTTGCTTCATCAAACACCTGCAACATACATCTTCAAGAAACTTGACAGGTTGTATTAAAGACAGCTCCAGCGCTCAAGCCGCCACAAGTTCAGTATTCTTGCTTGTTCAAGTAGTCTGGTGCGCAGTCTCTGGGTACTTTCCTTTTTCGAGGCTTCACGGTAAAAGACGAGGACGCTGCGGCCCTCATAAATGGCAGTTCTGCCAAATAGGGCCGCCCACCAAAAATCAAAGGTCATTTTCTGTCACGAGTTCAGTTTTTACAGTGTTTTTTGAACTAGGCGATGTCTGTATCCTGAGTGAGCATGCAGCAGTTGGATACGAGAAGGAAAAAGATTTTCGTGGAGCCAGAGGCGGCAGGACATCTTCTGCCTGCATAAAACGAGAAGGTACGGAGAGCTCGTTCAGAAAGACTGTCAGTTCCTTGGGTATTCTTCATGATTTTTTTTTGCTTCCTTCGAGAGCCAACGCAGAGCTTGTAAAGCTGAACACAACTATTCAGAGTACCAGTAAAGCGCAAATTGGGGTCTGTCTTCGAGGATTCAGATCCCATCAGTATGGGAGAATTAATGACTTGTTAAAAAAGTACAAGCTAGACAAACAGTAGCCTTGCGCTGGTTTTCTCTACTCCTTACACTACTCTTATGAATCTAAATAACGACATCTGATGACAAAAGTTACCTTTTTGCTTTTCTTCTTTTTGGTTAAACCCTTTTCTGCCGCATATTTCTCCCATTTCGTCGGTTCTTTCTTCTCAGGTATCTAAAAAAATGGCATTTTCTTTCAAAAGAATCAAGGCATTCGGAATGACTGACCTTCTTCTCTCTTGGTAGAATGAACGAAGATTTCGGAAGGACGGCCATAACGGCTTCCTCGACATTCTTCCTATTCAGCTCCCAGATTTTATTAAACAAGAACTGGGCATTGTTTCTTGCTCGAGTTAACAACTTTTCACTAAAAAAATGCATCGAGAGAATAAGTATAGTTGAGGAGGACAAAACAGGTGCTAGCTAAAGGTTTTACATTAATACGCTACCTGTTAGAGCATAACGAATGATGTCTCATGACACCTCAATAGCAGGGAAATCGCCTCCCACACCACACCCGAGAAATTTCGCGGACTCTTCAGTTTTTTCATGTTGTGCGGTACCTAGGAGGGATGAGGATTCTCGCCTGAGCCTAGATTAGGGAGCTCTCGGGCGGGTGAACCAATTTCCCTTTTGCAGAAAGGGTTCTCGGAAAACTTCACCTGAAAAAGCGTTGGCCTATCCGGAGGCTCCTTGCCCTCCACGGCATATATGCTCGTGCTGTGTAAAACTTTGCGAACCCAACACTTTTGAACTTCCTTTTTCGCTGAGAGCCGAACTTAATGCCATCTTACCTAACTTATCCAACACTTCGTCGTCGAGATCGAACGTGGCCGAAAGTGTTCTACACGACGACGATGTGTCTTGTTCCCTTATTCTATGCTAATGACGTGTTCTGAGATGTGCGATTCCTAACGCGTAGTATACCGGACTGCGGACCTAACTGGGCTAGCGCTATCTTCAGTAATGTGCGGAATACTTACAAATTTTGGTGCCAAGGGGGGGGGACACGCGGCAAGCTGCTCTTCCGCTCCCTCCTCGCCGAGATTATCCAGCAAGCTTGGTTGGCTCCAGTGAGAGTGTTCCCAGGTAACTTCAGAATTTCAGGAGTAGAACAATGAATTTCACACCGTCATAGGGTAGTAGTCGAATAAAGTCAGGCAATTGACGCTGAAAAGTGCGAAGGAGTAAACAGTGGACGAGATTATCAATGTCTAGGAGGGAAAGATTTTAGGGTGAATGAACCCTATCCTTTCTGCAAAATGTTACTTCCAAAAGCCTTGGACGCTCCGCAGATCGAAAGCCCCTCTCCCGTCGCTTCAATAGCGCCCCCGAACAGACAGGCAGGAGCAGACAGTAGTTCAGCAGCAAACGCTATGCTTTTGGGCAAAGCTTTCCAGTGGGTATACCCACTTCACCTTTCTATCGGTTCTTTGGCACTTTCAGAAATCCGCAGCAGAGCAGCTGCTTCTCTCAAAGTTGTCGTTTGTTTTTTCTGCATGTTCACTTGTTTTGGATTTTGAATTCTGTTTCGATGTTTTGTTTTTTCTTTTTGGCGTTGTCTTACACA